TTTGAAATATCAGTTTTTCACTTTATGGTCAAGTATAAATTCCCTAAATCTTGATTTCAGATAACTAACAGTGAAATCAATTACAATTGAATACGATGCAATACTAATAGTCACTTGTGGTTATCAACTCATATGTTGTTGTTTTAAGCGTTCTACTGAAACTCGATGAACTTTACAATTCTCTTCTTTCCTTTGTTTTTCAAAAACTTCCGTACGTTTTAAAAAAACATGACATAAAGCAAATTTGTAGTAAATTACAAGAAAATCACGCAACATCTATAAATAATACGGTACAGAGCGATCTATTCCATTCAATAAAGTTTGAGAACTCGAATGAGAATAGATTCTTTCACCAATAGTTTATATTTATGCTGTTCTGACACAAGGATACGAAAGTCGTTTGACGACATTACGTGACCAATAGATTCGTAATGTTTGGTTTTATCTAATTTTGCAACACGTCTCTGTTTCGGAGGATCAGCGAGCTTTGTTCGAGTAGCTAAGATTTCACCTAACCCTTTCAGGACGGGCGACTCATATATACGTTTTTAATATACATAATGTATTCCAAGTATTCTAATGGATGGTAGATGTTAAATGATTCCTTTGTAATTTACTACAAATTTGTTTTACGGCTTGTCCACGTAACGCGACACTTCACTGATCAAGTTAATAAAAAAAGAATTTTCGCTTTCGAAAATTTTGAATACATCACTAGATGTAATTTTTAATTCTAAGAACCCGTTTAAAACGCTTTTTTGATAAAAATTGGTTTTTGAGTCTCAAAACCGGTTCTTGAACATTTCAAAAATCGAATTTTCTATTCTTAGTTGAGAAAGTTTTCGAAAAATAAATTTCTAAACTTATGGTTTCGTAGAAAATTTAATTCTCTACAAAGTGGCGTATTTGGTTTTGAGCTTCAGCGCTTTAGAAAATTTGCACATATTTGTACATTTTCCGACTTAATTTACAGTTTTAGACCCTCGAACGCGAGGTAGCGACTTTATTCTTGCGTATATCGGCTGACTGTAGCACGAATAATTATATGTATAAATATCAAAATCTTCTGATCATATTAGGTCCCCCAAAAACACTCGACAAAAATAGTGCCTAACACCGTTACGAAAAACGTAACGCCGTTACTTTTAGATGTTTTTGCCTTAACTGAAGATGTTGGAAAAATTCTTTTTTTACTATCCGATAGCCCGTTCTGTGCTCTACAATTTCTGTGCTAAAAACTTTTCATTATGACCTTTACCTTTGTCGAAATTCACGTTTTTGTTGATAGCACTCGAAAAAAAGTCTTTCTTCGTAACACCGTTACGGCCTACAAAAACCGTTCTCAAAATTCGAGACTTCATACAAAAAATTTCATTTTTATACCGTAAATGCGGGTCGACGAGCTGCATCGAATGGCATTTAAATGAGCTTTTTAATTATTTTAGTTTCCGAGATAATTTCATTTTAGTGCGTTCAAAACGTAACGAAATTATTTTCTGGAGAGTGGATTTGTGAGATAGTCAAACAAGTGGAATGAAAGAAAATCCTGGGTTAATAAATGCTAAATTACAGCATTTGTAGAATAAGTTTTGCCTCTTCCTTTCTAAACCTCCTTTTAATCGATGAACAAAGAAGGATTATGACAATTAACAAACCCTATGAACTATGTGACTTTATTGGGTTAAACGAAAGTATCGAGTAATCTTGTTTCTTTGATACAGTTACACACTGTCATGAGAATCCTCCTCATGCAAATTCATCATCTGATTTCAAATATGCGAAACAAAACTTATAATTACGTGCTACACATGTATGTCATTTAAACAATTATATATGTTGCAGTGGAAATCAAAATCTATGGCGATTTAAAATTCCCCTAGAGGAAATCAAAATTTCGAGTTCTCCTGAAAGAATGCCAGTTGAAATCAAAATTTTGACTTCCCATAGGGCAATTTTAATACTCTTACATACTCTTTACATGCTTGTATGAAAGTTAATTGTGGTAAATTGCTTGGATTAATTAAACGTAAATCAGAAAAATTACATGCTGTCAGATTTAATAAATCGTCGCTACTGTACCTTGTTGAAATAACACCAGCTGTCGTACATAGTTTATACATAATTCCATCTGTAGTACCGTTTGTTGTGGATTGAATAGAAACAACTTTATATGGTAAAACTGTGGGCATAACATTTGAACGATCAACTTTATCTATTTTCAAACCAACAAAATGTCCCCATGTACAATAAGGATAGAACAGTAAAATGAGTTAAGAATATTGGACATATTTATAATAAATAACTGCTTAGCTTTTTATGCTATGCAAAACGTTCTGTTTAAAACGAACTTATTAATCAATTAGTTTGTTATATTTGAATGTATAAATTGTTATTATAAATCTAGCCATTCTTTAATGCTTGTCAATTTCAAATTTGGTAAATGGATGTAATCTAATAATACATAATAATACATAAATAATAATTTCGTGTAATCAAAACTATAATTTAGGCTGAACTCGTTGCTCTTTAGAAACTACATCGTGTGAACCTGATGGTAGTGCAAATCAAGATAATGAGTATCATCCAAAGAAAAAATGTCGATGTTTGAATGTATAAATTTTAATAAAGTATCAATTAAATTATTAATTATTATTTATTAATTAAATAAACTATCAATATCAGTATGCTAAATATCAATCAAACACTCTTTAGGGGAATTTAAAATTGCCCTATAGGGGAAGTCAAAATTTTGATTTCAACTGGCATTCTTTCAGGAGAACTCGAAATTTTGATTTCCCCTAGGGGAATTTTAAATCGCCCTAGATTTTGATTTCCACTGCAACATATATATATAAATTTATTGTCCCTATTTGAACAGGTTGACACAGAAAAGGAAAAAGAAAAATAAGATGTACGTGCATAAATAAAGTAGAGAAAAAACAAAGTAGATAGTTCACATCTTGTCGCGTTAAAATCATTGATATTAGTAGGACCGTGAAAGAAAGCAGTATAAACACTTAAATATATAATAATTACAACAACTGTAGATACATCGCGAGAGACACATGTGTTATTTTAGTTGATATGTACACACAAATCAGCATAGTTATACTGTGATCGTAAAAACGCTAAATCGGACGTCAAGAATTTTTCAGGGCAAAAAAAGACCTATTCTCGTTTCATGGTGGTAGAAGAAAATATATAGAATGTATGAATGCAGGCGGCTGCATTTTTGAAGTATCCATATTGAGGAGTATGATTAGAGAGGAATTCAATTACGTCTATCCGCGTGTGTTTAACTCTATTTGAAAGTGTATTCAAAAATTTGTTGTTCTGACGAAAGCTCATTGTACGGTACCAACTCTTTTGGGTTTTTTTGCTGCTAGAAATAGTGTGCATGTCATTTGATATTGTGTCGCTTCTTGTGCTATCTCGAGGTGATTACTAAGCTTTAGCCAATACCGAAATAAATAGTCACGAATGGTGTATTCTTGGCACAGTATGCTTGTTGTTAGATCATCCCAATTATGTAAATTGAAAACGATTCCTAGTCCTGAATAGAAGACATGTTCGATGTATTGCTGTTGCTTACCGGTGAAAAAGAACCATATTGAGAATAGCCAAACAAAATGTAGTAGTACATATGCATAGAATAAAATATGACGAATATTAATAAATTGTATTGGAATATCTTGAAATATGAGCTTTAAAGGAAATGTTTCTAATAAGTAGTATACGCATTGATATATACAGACTCCATCCAAGTTTTACTGTGATGTGTATTCCAAGATATTTGAAAAATTTAACAAATTTGATATTTTTCTCCACGATATGTAACATTTGGATACCTCGGTGTGACTACGCTATGTACTAACATTACCTTTGTTTTTTCAACATTAACTGGGAGCATATGTTCTTCTGCATATTTTGCCAGTGTTTCCATCGCAATTTTGGCTCTTTCTTCTAACTCAATGATATCCAGTGAAAATTTCTTCTCTAATGAACCTGCTAACATGATCGCAAGATCATCTGCGAAAAGGTGACACACTAAATTCAACTCGCGAAAAGACAAAACCCGCACAAAATTTAACGATAATTTGTCTTGGTTTACCGTTTTTAGCTTGTCCAGTTCGATGACAGACGGATATTGAATGTGAATGTAATTCGACTTTCATTTGTGTAGCTAAATTCATGACAATATTGTGCACATTTTCATCTTGTATTTTGGGAACATTAAGGATTCGTAAATTATCAAGCCGCCCATACTGTTCCAGATGATTAGATTTATCTTTCAATATCTTTACACTGTTTTCAAGTGTAGAGACGAATAAATTTTGATCAGTTAGACTTGCTTCTAATTGAGTAATTTTATCTTCAAGGTCGCTAATTTTTTCATCTTGTATAGCCATTAACGGTTCAACCAGTTCTTTCACTTTGGCGACGACAGAGTGAACATTTTTTCAATAAAATTCGTATCAGACAAAATGACTACGACGATTGACTTAACCATTTTTTCCGAGTTGAGAATTTGATCTTGATTATCATTTGATAACGATGTCGAAATAACAGTTTTTGAAAAACTCGACATTATTTGTAGTAAGAGAGACAAAACACGTGGATTTACGTAGTGTGTATGGAGAAGAAAAAAAAATTTTTTTAATATACGTCCGTTCGCATGAAACGAAAATGAATTTCTTTTGTTCTTTTTCTCGGAGTTTGTTCGTTTTCGGATATAATCCATCTTTTGGTAGACATATAGCTTTTCCGTGTTTGCTTGCTTTCAAAACATTTCCTAGCTCTGCAATCTTCAATACAAGACGCTAGGCTGCATCAAGTCACGCACGTTCAACTGGCCGTTTTTGATGCTCATCTTCCACATTACTAGATAGATGTAGAAAAAATGCATCTACTTCAAAATTTCGTTATCAACGATAATAATGGAAGCTTTGTAGAGTTCTAAAATGTATTTTACTTTGTAGCTAATGGTCGTATGGTTAACCATGAATCCCCTGGCAAATGTCGATATGATATCAGCATCAAAAATCAACATTCACGATGATCGTACTAATGAAGGTCAACGTCAAAATCTTAGTGATGATTGTGCATTTACTGACTGTGTTCCGTCCAGAAAAAACAACGATACAAGAGTCGGCTGATGAAGCGAGTGGTGGAGGTATCGTTTCTAGTAATAACAGAAAATTATTCGTCTATTATTGTTAATTTAAAATTTGAAATAAGAGGAATATACTTAGAAATGTAACATAGCACATTGCTTATCTAGTTTAATGAGTGTCACAGAAACAATGTGCTACATTCGATTCTTAATCATGTTTCTCTTCTTTAAATGTCAAACTTCTGAAATCGTGGTTACGTTCTAGTTTAAAACGTATAAAGTAACGTAATCTATTACTGTTATAAATATTCACTCTAAGATGATGTTTAACAAACCCCGAGCATAGAGCAGTAAGAAATAAACTTGACTAATACAGAAAATATAGAACTGCTATAAAAGTAATCGTGAATAATACTTTTATTCTCCCAGCGAGCTTTTGATCTATACTTCGCCATCATCAGGCGTACTGATTGGAAAAACTAAAAATTACACATTAGCGCAAAATCGACTTTTTATACGGAGAACAGAATCGATGCAAATTTTTTTTCTGAAGAGCTTATTATATGAATCGACAGTCAGTAAAGTATCTCTTGATTCAAATCACTTTTCGTATTTTGGCGCGAAAAGTGGCGCCACTTTTCGCGCCAAAATACGAAAAGTGATTTGAATCAAGAGATACTTTACTGACTGTCGATTCATATAATAAGCTCTTCAGAAAAAAAATTTGCATCGATTCTGTTCTCCGTATAAAAAGTCGATTTTGCGCTAATGTGTAATTTTTAGTTTTTCCAATCAGTACGCCTGATGATGGCGAAGTATAGATCAAAAGCTCGCTGGGAGAATAAAAGTATTATTCACGATTACTTTTATAGCAGTTCTATATTTTCTGTATTAGTCAAGTTTATTTCTTACTGCTCTATGCTCGGGGTTTGTTAAACATCATCTTAGAGTGAATATTTATAACAGTAATAGATTACGTTACTTTATACGTTTTAAACTAGAACGTAACCACGATTTCAGAAGTTTGACATTTAAAGAAGAGAAACATGATTAAGAATCGAATGTAGCACATTGTTTCTGTGACACTCATTAAACTAGATAAGCAATGTGCTATGTTACATTTCTAAGTATATTCCTCTTATTTCAAATTTTAAATTAACAATAATAGACGAATAATTTTCTGTTATTACTAGAAACGATACCTCCACCACTCGCTTCATCAGCCGACTCTTGTATCGTTGTTTTTTCTGGACGGAACACAGTCAGTAAATGCACAATCATCACTAAGATTTTGACGTTGACCTTCATTAGTACGATCATCGTGAATGTTGATTTTTGATGCTGATATCATATCGACATTTGCCAGGGGATTCATGGTTAACCATACGACCATTAGCTACAAAGTAAAATACATTTTAGAACTCTACAAAGCTTCCATTATTATCGTTGATAACGAAATTTTGAAGTAGATGCATTTTTTCTACATCTATCTAGTAATGTGGAAGATGAGCATCAAAAACGGCCAGTTGAACGTGCGTGACTTGATGCAGCCTAGCGTCTTGTATTGAAGATTGCAGAGCTAGGAAATGTTTTGAAAGCAAGCAAACACGGAAAAGCTATATGTCTACCAAAAGATGGATTATATCCGAAAACGAACAAACTCCGAGAAAAAGAACAAAAGAAATTCATTTTCGTTTCATGCGAACGGACGTATATTAAAAAAATTTTTTTTTCTTCTCCATACACACTACGTAAATCCACGTGTTTTGTCTCTCTTACTACAAATAATGTCGAGTTTTTCAAAAACTGTTATTTCGACATCGTTATCAAATGATAATCAAGATCAAATTCTCAACTCGGAAAAAATGGTTAAGTCAATCGTCGTAGTCATTTTGTCTGATACGAATTTTATTGAAAAAATGTTCACTCTGTCGTCGCCAAAGTGAAAGAACTGGTTGAACCGTTAATGGCTATACAAGATGAAAAAATTAGCGACCTTGAAGATAAAATTACTCAATTAGAAGCAAGTCTAACTGATCAAAATTTATTCGTCTCTACACTTGAAAACAGTGTAAAGATATTGAAAGATAAATCTAATCATCTGGAACAGTATGGGCGGCTTGATAATTTACGAATCCTTAATGTTCCCAAAATACAAGATGAAAATGTGCACAATATTGTCATGAATTTAGCTACACAAATGAAAGTCGAATTACATTCACATTCAATATCCGTCTGTCATCGAACTGGACAAGCTAAAAACGGTAAACCAAGACAAATTATCGTTAAATTTTGTGCGGGTTTTGTCTTTTCGCGAGTTGAATTTAGTGTGTCACCTTTTCGCAGATGATCTTGCGATCATGTTAGCAGGTTCATTAGAGAAGAAATTTTCACTGGATATCATTGAGTTAGAAGAAAGAGCCAAAATTGCGATGGAAACACTGGCAAAATATGCAGAAGAACATATGCTCCCAGTTAATGTTGAAAAAACAAAGGTAATGTTAGTACATAGCGTAGTCACACCGAGGTATCCAAATGTTACATATCGTGGAGAAAAATATCAAATTTGTTAAATTTTTCAAATATCTTGGAATACACATCACAGTAAAACTTGGATGGAGTCTGTATATATCAATGCGTATACTACTTATTAGAAACATTTCCTTTAAAGCTCATATTTCAAGATATTCCAATACAATTTATTAATATTCGTCATATTTTATTCTATGCATATGTACTACTACATTTTGTTTGGCTATTCTCAATATGGTTCTTTTTCACCGGTAAGCAACAGCAATACATCGAACATGTCTTCTATTCAGGACTAGGAATCGTTTTCAATTTACATAATTGGGATGATCTAACAACAAGCATACTGTGCCAAGAATACACCATTCGTGACTATTTATTTCGGTATTGGCTAAAGCTTAGTAATCACCTCGAGATAGCACAAGAAGCGACACAATATCAAATGACATGCACACTATTTCTAGCAGCAAAAAAACCCAAAAGAGTTGGTACCGTACAATGAGCTTTCGTCAGAACAACAAATTTTTGAATACACTTTCAAATAGAGTTAAACACACGCGGATAGACGTAATTGAATTCCTCTCTAATCATACTCCTCAATATGGATACTTCAAAAATGCAGCCGCCTGCATTCATACATTCTATATATTTTCTTCTACCACCATGAAACGAGAATAGGTCTTTTTTTGCCCTGAAAAATTCTTGACGTCCGATTTAGCGTTTTTACGATCACAGTATAACTATGCTGATTTGTGTGTACATATCAACTAAAATAACACATGTGTCTCTCGCGATGTATCTACAGTTGTTGTAATTATTATATATTTAAGTGTTTATACTGCTTTCTTTCACGGTCCTACTAATATCAATGATTTTAACGCGACAAGATGTGAACTATCTACTTTGTTTTTTCTCTACTTTATTTATGCACGTACATCTTATTTTTCTTTTTCCTTTTCTGTGTCAACCTGTTCAAATAGGGACAATAAATTTATATATATATGTTGCAGTGGAAATCAAAATCTAGGGCGATTTAAAATTCCCCTAGGGGAAATCAAAATTTCGAGTTCTCCTGAAAGAATGCCAGTTGAAATCAAAATTTTGACTTCCCCTATAGGGCAATTTTAAATTCCCCTAAAGAGTGTTTGATTGATATTTAGCATACTGATATTGATAGTTTATTTAATTAATAAATAATAATTAATAATTTAATTGATACTTTATTAAAATTTATACATTCAAACATCGACATTTTTTCTTTGGATGATACTCATTATCTTGATTTGCACTACCATCAGGTTCACACGATGTAGTTTCTAAAGAGCAACGAGTTCAGCCTAAATTATAGTTTTGATTACACGAAATTATTATTTATGTATTATTATGTATTATTAGATTACATCCATTTACCAAATTTGAAATTGACAAGCATTAAAGAATGGCTAGATTTATAATAACAATTTATACATTCAAATATAACAAACTAATTGATTAATAAGTTCGTTTTAAACAGAACGTTTTGCATAGCATAAAAAGCTAAGCAGTTATTTATTATAAATATGTCCAATATTCTTAACTCATTTTACTGTTCTATCCTTATTGTACATGGGGACATTTTGTTGGTTTGAAAATAGATAAAGTTGATCGTTCAAATGTTATGCCCACAGTTTTACCATATAAAGTTGTTTCTATTCAATCCACAACAAACGGTACTACAGATGGAATTATGTATAAACTATGTACGACAGCTGGTGTTATTTCAACAAGGTACAGTAGCGACGATTTATTAAATCTGACAGCATGTAATTTTTCTGATTTACGTTTAATTAATCCAAGCAATTTACCACAATTAACTTTCATACAAGCATGTAAAGAGTATGTAAGAGTATTAAAATTGCCCTATGGGAAGTCAAAATTTTGATTTCAACTGGCATTCTTTCAGGAGAACTCGAAATTTTGATTTCCTCTAGGGGAATTTTAAATCGCCATAGATTTTGATTTCCACTGCAACATATATAATTGTTTAAATGACATACATGTGTAGCACGTAATTATAAGTTTTGTTTCGCATATTTGAAATCAGATGATGAATTTGCATGAGGAGGATTCTCATGACAGTGTGTAACTGTATCAAAGAAACAAGATTACTCGATACTTTCGTTTAACCCAATAAAGTCACATAGTTCATAGGGTTTGTTAATTGTCATAATCCTTCTTTGTTCATCGATTAAAAGGAGGTTTAGAAAGGAAGAGGCAAAACTTATTCTACAAATGCTGTAATTTAGCATTTATTAACCCAGGATTTTCTTTCATTCCACTTGTTTGACTATCTCACAAATCCACTCTCCAGAAAATAATTTCGTTACGTTTTGAACGCACTAAAATGAAATTATCTCGGAAACTAAAATAATTAAAAAGCTCATTTAAATGCCATTCGATGCAGCTCGTCGACCCGCATTTACGGTATAAAAATGAAATTTTTTGTATGAAGTCTCGAATTTTGAGAACGGTTTTTGTAGGCCGTAACGGTGTTACGAAGAAAGACTTTTTTTCGAGTGCTATCAACAAAAACGTGAATTTCGACAAAGGTAAAGGTCATAATGAAAAGTTTTTAGCACAGAAATTGTAGAGCACAGAACGGGCTATCGGATAGTAAAAAAAGAATTTTTCCAACATCTTCAGTTAAGGCAAAAACATCTAAAAGTAACGGCGTTACGTTTTTCGTAACGGTGTTAGGCACTATTTTTGTCGAGTGTTTTTGGGGGACCTAATATGATCAGAAGATTTTGATATTTATACATATAATTATTCGTGCTACAGTCAGCCGATATACGCAAGAATAAAGTCGCTACCTCGCGTTCGAGGGTCTAAAACTGTAAATTAAGTCGGAAAATGTACAAATATGTGCAAATTTTCTAAAGCGCTGAAGCTCAAAACCAAATACGCCACTTTGTAGAGAATTAAATTTTCTACGAAACCATAAGTTTAGAAATTTATTTTTCGAAAACTTTCTCAACTAAGAATAGAAAATTCGATTTTTGAAATGTTCAAGAACCGGTTTTGAGACTCAAAAACCAATTTTTATCAAAAAAGCGTTTTAAACGGGTTCTTAGAATTAAAAATTACATCTAGTGATGTATTCAAAATTTTCGAAAGCGAAAATTCTTTTTTTATTAACTTGATCAGTGAAGTGTCGCGTTACGTGGACAAGCCGTAAAACAAATTTGTAGTAAATTACAAAGGAATCATTTAACATCTACCATCCATTAGAATACTTGGAATACATTATGTATATTAAAAACGTATATATGAGTCGCCCGTCCTGAAAGGGTTAGGTGAAATCTTAGCTACTCGAACAAAGCTCGCTGATCCTCCGAAACAGAGACGTGTTGCAAAATTAGATAAAACCAAACATTACGAATCTATTGGTCACGTAATGTCGTCAAACGACTTTCGTATCCTTGTGTCAGAACAGCATAAATATAAACTATTGGTGAAAGAATCTATTCTCATTCGAGTTCTCAAACTTTATTGAATGGAATAGATCGCTCTGTACCGTATTATTTATAGATGTTGCGTGATTTTCTTGTAATTTACTACAAATTTGCTTTATGTCATGTTTTTTTAAAACGTACGGAAGTTTTTGAAAAACAAAGGAAAGAAGAGAATTGTAAAGTTCATCGAGTTTCAGTAGAACGCTTAAAACAACAACATATGAGTTGATAACCACAAGTGACTATTAGTATTGCATCGTATTCAATTGTAATTGATTTCACTGTTAGTTATCTGAAATCAAGATTTAGGGAATTTATACTTGACCATAAAGTGAAAAACTGATATTTCAAATTCTTATCAAACGTTGTATAGTTCAAACGAGAGCTAAGTGAGAATTGTCATAGAATTTCTAAAGTCTTTCCTTACATTTCTAGTAATTATCATTTCAGTTTCTAACTTCTTTAAAAATGTTCCATAAGTCAGCGTGTTCTAATCTAGCTTCAATTTTTGACTTTATTTCTTGTCGTTTCATATTTGAGACTAAAATAATCAATTTAAAACAAATGATATATATCCATGAATAGCTTTTTAAACTTTATTTCTACCAAATATAAGCAACGCTTTGAGTTTTATCAGCTATCGGCGGTAAGGTCAGCTTTTGTGTGCTTAAACATTCTAATCATTTTAAACCAGAGAATAATACCACAGATCACACCAGCTTTTCTGATGTTTGTCTACGAGCCAGGCTGATTAAAAATAGACCGAAAGCCATCTATTTTAAACTACATGACGTTAGGTTAAAATGAGTGAAAACATATGAAGTAATTGAAATAATCCATCTAAATTGAATTCTTCTAAGCGTTTGTTTGGTTCGTTTCATCCTCCCCATCTTCTGATATCCACCCGACACATTTGATAGATCGAATCAAATCGTCTGTGTACGTCGATCCATACACACACATAGCATGTTTCTCTTACACAACCCATGTAACAATTTCGGCTCTAAAAAACGCGTTTAAACGACTTAAAAATGAAACATTTGCACCGTTCAAACGTCTTTTGTTTCGCTTCTATACCAACGCGTTCGAACGCGTCATCATTATCATTTCAGTTGGTTCTATTTATGCAAACAATTAGAGCTCTTTGTCTTGTATGATTGCCGAGGTGTGAGCAATACAAAGTTATCAATATGAGAGAAGTCGCATTTTTCAGACGTGGGTCGAAATTTTAAAATGCTCGATTCTCAGCAACCAAGCAATATTTTTTCAAACGGAAATCGCCATTTTAGTCAGAGATGCCTATTTTCCTTTTCATGACTCGTTCGAACGAGTTCTGTGATATATGTTTGAGCAGTGTACTACGGAACACAGTCACTGCTTACGTGAAATGGCTCTTAAGTAGTTGTGGATTCACAGGTGGCAGATACGTTCCTCCTCTTATTCGATTTCTCTGTACAGATCAAAGTACACATGTTGGTTAACGATTAGATACCGAATTGTTAGATTTAAATGATAATCTGACTGTTGGTTATGCAGATTTTGATTCAGATTCTAATACTGACTATAAATGACACTGTCTATATCGATAGTGTCTATTGACTAATATCAATTTACATCTTAGGCCAGATGGGTAATATAATACTGCACCTGTTGCAACTGTAATGTCTTCAACAAATATCCCACAAAATGTTCCACAAACTATTCAAATACCCGTGTTAGATGCAAATGGTGACGATATACGATGTCGATGGTCAAAAGGTGCAACTAAATGTGGTCTTGTGTGTTCAACTATTGGTAGAGAAAATTACTCTTTGCCTCCCCATACTATGTAACATTTTTTATATTTTGTAAAATTAAAGGATATATTACTTGCGTTCAAGCTGTTTGTAAGACGACAATAGTAGCAAAAAATAAAAAACATTGACGCAGCTGATTATACAAATAGATGTAGTCGTAAAGCTATTGTGAGGTATTTATCATAACAATGGAGCTTCAGAATAAATTAATCCCTCAGTATTTTGACTATAACTTCGTTTTCGTTAGGGAACAAGGTTACTTCTTCTTTTCTAACGTTCGCTGTTTCATTCTGTACAAAAAATATACTGAACAATCTTTTACATCCACTAAAAATACAGGAAGATAGACAAAATACTGTGAAATTTCAATCTACATTACTTTTTCAACTCAAAGCACACAACGAAAAAAAACTGCGAGAGAAATCAATTAAGGAAAAAAAAATTTATTCCATGGGTATTTTTGTAATAATTGTTAAGCTGAAAAATACGCTGGAATAAAGACCATCTTCATCAGCGCAAGTGTTACTCACTTTTTCGTTTCAATTCTGTTTTGCGTACGAATCTCGTACTAGTTGATGAATTAAGGGTCTCCTACACTCAGAAAAATAAATTTTCGTCGAAAAATTGATTTTGAGGTTTATATATGGTTGAAGAGTCCAAAGTGTCCTCTTTCCAACGCACTAATTTTTATGCCTTGAAAAAGGGCTTTTGATGGTTTTCTGAAAACCTCCTATTCTAAAAAAGTTAGTTTTTCATTGAAATATCACCGCAAATTCAAAAATACATGTCCCTGCATACGCTCATTGGACTTCGCATACGCAAAAACCTGTGGAGAACTATTATTATATTTCTTTCCTTCTTCGGTTTTCATTTCGTAAACTTGTTTCACGTTTTTCTCAAAATCTCTTTTTACGACTATAGCGCTTCGGACTTGCAAGACATCTCCGTCATTTGCCGAGCTGTAAATTTTGGATTGGCTTCAAAAAATAGAGAAATGCTTTTTTATACGTCGTGACGTCGTTTGATTTTCAGTATAAGTTTAGTTTAGGAGAAATTTAAAAAATTTCCAAAAAGTAAATAAAGTCTCTCTGAAACTTTTTAAATTCATCCTCATATTGGATATGGGACCCCAGCCCGCGCGCAGGTCTCGAAAATCTGAATCGACAGTTCGATTCAGAATATTTTTCTCTTCATATACTGAATAGATCAGCTCCGACTTTTCTAATTTATTTTATAG